GGGGGAGAGCAAATGCGAGCTTGGATCTGCGAGCTTAGCTCCAAAGGGAGAGTAAAAAAAGAAGCAGAGATGTACAGCGACAGGATGGCGACGAGCCGTCCCCGGCCGGCACACGCTTCGTCTGCCGCTCAGCATCAGCATCAGCACGCCAGCAATGGATTTGGCCCTCCACGCTCGAGCCATCAGGAGTGGCAGCGTGTTCCGCCTCGCAATCCATTTGACAACCCGCACCCGCCAAGCAGACCGCCTCCCATCCATCCACCTCAGGCATCATCGAGTCCTTTTCGCTTTGATCGCTTCGCAGAGCAGGTGTGTCAAGTGGACCCCATGGCCGATGAAGCAATGCGGGGACGACCGCCCGTCCCGCCACCGCCCGCTGCCATCCCTCAACCGTCGTTCGGGCAGCCAGGGAGATCACGGCAGGGAGCTGCACCTGCACCACCACCACCAGCTGCAGCGGCCATGGCGCCAGAGACCAACCGCATGCAGAGGGCGCAGCACCAGCCATCATTCCGTGGCGGCGGGCCGTCGTCGGCATCCTCATACTATCCGCCGCAGAGGGGCGGTGGTTCATCTGCCTACAGCTCGTTCCACCAGCAGCACGACGACCGGGGCGGGAGCAACAGTTTGTATTTTCGCGAGATGCGGCACCTGGGGCTGAGTGCTGGTGTGGTCAACAAGGGCTGGGAGATCGCCACGATGGAGGACGGCGTGATGGACACGCAGGAGCCGGGCGTGTACGCCGTGTACTCATACAGGTCAGAGAAGGAAGGCACAGCACAGTAGAGGTCACATGACATGAGATGACATGACATGACATGACATGAGAGGAGTCGGGTGTGGTTTCCTGTCCGGATCTGTGTGGTGGTTGGTGTTGTGTTGGTGCACCCAGTGAGTCGTGGAGGGAGGTGGACATGGAGGTGTGCGAGTGCAGCTGCCCCAACATGCAGCTGTGCTGCAGCCACCTGTTCGCCGTCATCGCCGCTGTGCCGCAGGTGAGTGACCAAGTGAATGAACCCATTCATCCATAATGCATCCATCATTGCATCCGTGTGCCCCTATCTGTCTGTCTGCCTGTCTGCAGTATCGGTTGCGTTTTGCGTTGCTGACTGCGGCCAAGCGTGAGATGATCCACAAGGCCGCCACCAGGTCCATCACGCCGCAGAAGATATGCAGGTACGGCCCAAGCTGACACAAAGAGACACACACGCAGGTGCACATGTGCGAGTGTTTTTGTTTGTGTGTGTTGGACATGACCAACCAACCAACATAGGGACATTTACCGACTGTTCAGCACGTACAACGTCGACGAGCTCTACCGAGCGGCCGTCGAGTGCTTCGTTGGCGTCATGTGGCGCTTCTATAGCAAACAGGGGGAGCTCCCAGCAGCCATCCAAAGAGAACGGGTCGGCTGAGCCGTACATGAAGGCCTGCGCTCCTTGCGACATGGCTCTCCTTCTTTTTTGCAGCCGGAGAAGCGCCTCATTGACCGCGACAGAGGGCGCATGATCTTGGGCAAGGTGGTGGAGGCCTTCAGGTCGCTGGAGGGCAAGGGCAATGACAAGGCGCAGAAGCTGTCCACTGGCGCACAGCGGCTGGCTGCCCTCGAGAGCGAGACAGCCACGCTGTGTGGCGAGGAAAAATTCTCCGACCTCCACACTACCGTGGCTGAGCTGCTGACGCAGAGGAACCTCGTCCAACAGGAGGGAGTACCGGCACCTGCTGCAGGTCGGTGGGTGCAGAGTGCATGCACTCGCTTCCACACACGCTCATTTGCCGACTGTCTGTCTTATTGTGTCCATGTCTTTGTTGTTGGCCAGGCGGCAAGAAGAGCGAGCCCGCCGTGTCGTCTGCCGACGTGGCCAAGGTGCATGAGTGGGTGTTCGGCAAGCACGATGGGGCTGGTGACCAAGACCAGGATGAGAAGAAAGCAGAGAAGGGCCCGAAGGAGACAAAGGAGAACGTGGCTCTGAGGGTCAGTGAACCACACACCAAGACCACCACACAAGGGGTGTGGGAGCCCATGCCTTTCTCCTGCCTCTTCCTCTTGCTTGATCAGGTCATTAGCCAGCTGCAGTCCATCACGGACCAGTCGTCAAGGTCGTCCCTCGTGGCCCTCCAGCAGCTGGAGGCCAGTGTGGCATCATCTTTAAATGCCGATCGCTTCGACGCACTCGGCCATGGATCCTTCCTGTCGTTCGTCAACTCGCAGCCAAACCTGACGGACGCCATCAGTGACAAGATTGTGAGCAAGGGACGCGCCGCTTCGTCCTCCGGGGGGCCGCCATCCGTCTTTACCGACAAGCTGGGTTCACTGGTGCGCCAGACTGTGCATGCACTCGACGGCCACCTGCAGGATGAGCAAAGGGAGACTCTCACGCGCGCAGTCGACAGAGCGATCGACGGTCGGTCAGCCACAGACAAGCGCAGAGACGAAATGAGGCTGTTGTGATTCAATCGCCTGTTCGTGTCATGCATGCAGGTTTCTTCCGCATTAATGGGGGCCACCAGGCGATGGGCTACGAGTCGGTCGCGGCGCTCGCGGATGCAGCCAAGGGAGAGGCCGACGGGATGGCCATTGCCAGCAGTCTCCTGGCCGGCGATGACGAGATCGAAGCGCCCTCCGTGCCGGCCAGGAGCATGGTGTCAGACGACATGTCAGCAGCTATGGACGCCATCCGTGCAGCGCCCTATCTGACAGACATCGGCCAACACATCCAGTGGCAGAGGGTCTTCCAGGTCGGTAGTAAGTACTGAATGTGCATCCGGCGGTCGGTGATCCAAATGTGTCTTTTCTTCACCTGTGTGTTCAGGACACTCTCGGCCCGCTGTCATCCTTCCTGTCCCGCCATTGTGGCTCCCTCCCCGCCGTGCAGCTGATCGAGACCCACCCGCACCACTACATCAAAGCACCCCTCCGCAGCGACGCCGCTGAGAAGCTGCTGGACAGTCTCGCAAAGCACGACGGCAAGGGGAGTGCTGTCGAGTGGGTGGGCTTGGTGGCCGGGTGCGGCGGGGTGCGGCACGTGCCCTGGGGGGTGGTCAAGACGGAGGGACGGAAGAGACTTGCTGGTGAGTAAGGGGTGGAGGGCTGAACGAAGGGTGCGTGGTGGAGAGGAGAGACTTCTTCCTTGGTGTGTATGGTTGTGCAGGCATACCTCTGGAGGAGGGTGCGTCATTTCTGGCTGACTTCATCGCAGCGCTGCCGGATGCCTTCCTGTCGTCGACGCTCATGTAGGTGCATGACCATGCGCTGCCGACTCATCCATCATCCCTGTGTCTGTCTATCTGACTATGATGGATTACCTATCTCCTTTGCCATCAGCCATCCACTGGTTATCGCACCCCTGGTCGACACACATGGACAGGACATCCTGCATACGACTCTCAAACACGCCAGGTGAAGAGAACATAAATCTTCCATGTGCGTACACGTGTACACCTGTCGTGTGTGCAGCTCCCCCTCTCTGACCGCCCGCCTGCATCAGCTGGGTATCGACTGCACCCTGCAGCCCTGGATCAACCACCTCAAGGCCACTCTCCGCCACACTCAGGACACCCCTCACCACCAGGGGACGGCCGTGCACCAGCGGGATGTCAAGATGGTGGATCAAGGGAGAGGCGATGCTGAAGAGGATGACACCGGCGAGGTCATGTTCTGGAAGAGGCCACAGAGGCAGCAGCAGGACAAGCAGCCACCACAGCAGCCAGGACAACCGCCACCACAGGCACAGGCGCAGCAGCCCTCTGCTCCTGCTGTGCCCGCTGCTGCACACACATCACCTCAGTCCAGCAAATCAGGTATGCACGTCACACAGAAGCCGCGGCCATTTCATGCACTTGTCTGTCTGTCTGTCTGTTTGTCTCTGCAGACGCCCGTGCGGTCGTGTCGTCGATCCGCCGCGACGAGTTCGGCATTGGCTACGACGACACGAGCGGTGTGATGGCGCGGCAGAGGGCCCGGCTGACGAGGGCACTCAAGAGACTCACCGAGGACCTCTACGCCGGAGAGATACACCTGCAGGCACGCTGAGGGAGGACGCCAGACCACCTCGGGTGTGTGTTGTCGATGTTTGCTTGCATGTGTGTGTGTGCAGATGGAGCTCATCCAAAACGCCGACGACAACATGTATCCGAGAGGAACGTCGCCCACGCTCCACTTTGTGGTGCTGAGGGAGGGCCTGGCGGTCTTCAACAACGAGAGCGGCTTCACTGAGGCGGATGTCAGGGCCATCTGTGACGTCGGCCGCTCCACCAAGACCAGCGCCCTCCGGCCAGCCATCGGGAAGTTCGGCGTCGGCTTCAAGAGTGTTTTCTTCGTCTCTGACAGTGAGCGAGATCCCCGCACACACCGACACCCACACAGACAAGCATGTGAGCATCTATCCGTGTCCTTGTGTGTGTTCATCTCAGCCCCGACTCTCTTTTCCAACGGCTATGGCATCCGGTTTGACGCCAAGGACCCCTCGGGCATGGGCTATGTGCTGCCGCAGTGGGTGGACGGCACAGCGGCCGAGCACCTGCCTGCAGCAGCGGTGGCGCACATGAGTGGGGCGTGGCAGACGGCCATCTGGCTGCCGCTGAAGCGGGGCATGCTGCACACCGACCGGTGGGAACGGGGCATCGCCAAGAAGATGACGCAGCTCAGCGGCTCGTGGCTGCTCTTCCTGCGGCGGCTCACACACATATTGTTATACGATGGGCTGACTGACCGCTACATCGACGTGCGGAAAGAGGTGCGTGCCGATGGGGCCGTGAGGGTGACTGATGGAGAGGGCAATGAAGAGCTGTGGGCTATTGTCACGCACAAGGTCACCGGCACCACACAAACAGGTGCGCAGACACACTTACCACCGACGACATATTGGGCATGTGTGTGTGTGTGTGTGTGCGTGTCTGTATGTGTCAGACACTGAGATAACGATCGCTCTGCCAATGAGTTCCGATGGCGAGGCGTCGGCCGACGACCGCTCTCGCGACGTGTTTGCCTACCTGCCCCTGAGGAGCTTCGGCTTTCGGTTCGTGCTGCACGGAGACTTTGTGGTGCCCACCAGCAGAGAAGATGTTGTCAGGTCAGATTGACACAGACAATCACACAATCCTACACGCGCACCGCACCGTTCCCACGTGCATATGACATGCGTCAGAGGCCACCCGTGGAACGAGCATCTGCGGTCGAGTATCCCCGCTGCCTTCATAGCCGCCATCGACCACGCCAAGAAGACACCCGTCACGCCCCTCACCTACGGCATCCTCAACTACGTGCCGCGAGAGAATGAGCTTCTCGGTTTCTTCGCCCCCGTCGCCCGCCTGATGCGCACCGCCCTGCAAAGCCACCCCTGTGTGCTGACGGCCAGCGGCAAGTGGGTGGTGCCCGCGAATGCCCTGATGGCTCCTGAGCTCAGCAACGAGGGCGAGGAGAGGGGCGTCTTCGACGCGATGGTGAAAGCCCCTGTGGTCGCAGCCACCCTCGGCAAAGAATATGTGCATCAGGAGGTTAGCAAAGCAAAGCACAGCACGAGATTCAGACAAGGTGGGTGGATACACGGACACACGGGGATGTGTCCTTTCTCGTCTTCAGGTGCTCAAGCGCGTGAGTGCGGCCGTGTTGGTCTCTCTCGGTATCCGTCACTTCAGCCTCTTTCACATGATCGAGCTCATCAGCCACTCGCTGACCCACCAGCCCCCCACCAGCCAGCAGATCGCCCACTGCCTGGCCCTCATCGACTGGCTCTCAGAGGACCACACTCTCTCACGCCAGGACGTCAGCAGCGCATTCAAGTCGCTGCAGAAGATACCCTTCCTCCGTCTGGCCACTGGGGAGATGGTCTGCGGCGGCGGAGATGGCGGCGAGAGGGTGTATGTGGAGGCGGACGGCCAGCGCTTTGACTACGGCTTTGAGGCCAACGTGCGAGTGCTGCATGGCGACATCCTGGGCTGCTTCGACACCGACACGGAAGCCGACACGCAGGACAGCCGCTCGTTGCTGCTGTCAGCCCGCGCCAAGCGGTCCCTGCAGCGTCTGGGAGTGCACAAGCTCACCCCTGACGTCATCCTCTCCACCATCATCCTGCCTGCATATACATCGGGCACCGACCTGCCCCCGGCCTCTCTCGTCGGTTATCTGGCCTACTGCTTGCACCACCAAGAGACCTTCCTCGCCCTCATGACGCAGCAGCAGGAAGCAAACAACACCACGACGACAATGCGGCCGCGTGTGCGCGTGATGCTGGAGAACGGCTCCCAGGGCAGGCCGACCGACGTCATGTTGACGCAGAATTGGGGCGGGCGCGTGGAGTGGGAGGACATGATGGACCAGGAGAGCCTCGCTGGCCTCTCGTTGTCCGCTGCTCACCTGAACTATGGCTCAGCCATCGAGTGGGGGCGATTCCTCAAGAAACTCGGCGCATCAGAGTTTCTTGCGATGGAGAGGGTGACGACGAGCGCGGCTGAGTGGGGTGATGCCGTGGGCGGGCGCGAGGGCACTGTGGAGGACTGGAGGGCTCCCTCTCTGGAGCCGTTCTTGCAGACAATGAGTGTGGAGAAGGCCCAGATGTTCTATGACGCGCTGCAAGTGCTGTGGGGCGACCTGGCGGCGTATGCGTCTGTGTCTTTCACCAGCACCGACGGCTCGACCAACGAGAGACTGACGGACGTGCCCTCTTCCTTCATCAGGACGCTCCGACACATCCCCTGGGTGCCCGGGGAGACCGAGGACGAGCGCCTCTACGCGCCATCCTCCCTCTGCCTCCCGTCGTCCCCTCTCGCCATTCTGTGCGGCGGACTCTTACTCCAAGCCGATGTGCACCACCACCATTCGACAGCAGTGGCGACGGGAATTGGGCTGCACGCAGAACCGACCGTCCCGATTGTCTTCTCGCTGCTCAATCAGCTGAGGAAGGCCATGGATGCAGACGCGGATCAGGACGACATGATGGCGGTGGACCATGCGCAGCTGACGGCGTTCCCCCTGGTGCTGAGTCAGGGGTTTAGGTCAGCGTGTCGCGACGGCGGGAGCATTGTGGGTCTGTATACCTTCCTCTCCGAGGCCGCGAGCGACGTGGACACCGCCAGGCTCTTCAGCTCGCTGCCCCTGATCTACATCCCGACCCGGGGGGCCTTTGCCTTGTCGACGGAGGTGTTTTGGTCGCTGCCGGAGGGGTGCGAGGGCGCCTTCTCTTTCCCCCCTCTGTGTGAGGTCTACCCCTACTCATTGCGGGGCTGGTTCGTGCAGCAGCTGGGCGTGGACGTGCTGCCGTCGGTCGACCGGTGTGTGAGCGAGCTGGGCGTGGTCACACAGGGGGACGATGAGGAGGGCGACACCCATTCGGAGCCGAAACGGAGGCGCCTTGTTGAAGGTGAGTGAGTTAGCAGAGGCAGGGAGGACAGGGACACGCGTCTGTCTGCATGGGTAGGGTACATCCATCGGTGTATCCTGCATGCATGCATGCGTCGCGTCAGGCTGGGTGCCCTCGTCCAGCCCACCGTATGACTGTGTTGCTGCTGCGGTTGTGGTGGCTTCAGATGACCGCATCGCCCAGGTCGCATGCCTCCTTCTCTTCGTCGCGCAGCAGTGCCCCAACGACGAGCTCTTATCTCGCCTGTCCCGCCGCGCCTTCTTCCCCACGCAGAATGCCAGGCAGCACAGCGAGGGCAATGTCCGCTATGCCTCTCCATCCGATGGGCTGATCATGGCCACGACGGCCAGGAGCAAGCACATGGCGGCGGAGCACTTCCCCGACCTGCCGATTGTGTGTGCGCTGCCCCCTGCGATGGAGAGGCGGGCGGACGAGTGGCGGGAGCTGCTGAAGAGAGTGGGAGGGGTGGAGCTGAGCGAGATGTGTCGGGTGGAGGTCAGCAGGGGTGGCCGGGGCGGTCAGAGGGACGATGTGCTGAGGACGCGGGTGCTCAATGAGCTGCTGGGATATGCGCAACGCTTCATGGCCTTTCATAGAGAAGAAAGGTCAAACGACAGACAGACACCACACCCGGACAAAGAATCTCTGTCTTGTGTGTCATTCATCTCATCGACAGGCTGGCGGAGCTGCAGAGCGACCCGGCATGGCCGTCCCGTCTCGGATCCCTCACCGTCTCCCGCGCCCCCTTCCTGTCCATCCGCTTCACCCTCTCCCCTCCCCCCCACACCAACATGCAGCCCTTCTCCTCAATCGCCCGGCATCGTGACGCATACCTCGACGGCAATGAGCTGACAGTTGTCGTCAAGGACTCGTCCGCCGACCTGCCCAATGAGGTGTTTCCTGAGTTCACACGGCTGCTGTTTGCTGATGGAGAGGCGGACAGGGAGATGGGGACGTTCCTGTCGGTGGTCCACAGCATCCGTAAGGGCGGCATGAGCGACGCGGCTGTAGAGGAGTTCTTGAGGAGCGTCCATGGGATTGGGAAGCTGCCAGGGGGGCCGGGGGCTGACTGGATGGCGACGGTCATGCCATTCCCTACCCATGCTCAGGGTGGACCAGGTACACACCCGTCCATGCGACCGACACACACACGATCGCTCTTTGTGTGTCATGTTCATTCAGGTGTGTCCCCCTCCCCCCGCCCCTCCCCCGCTGCCGTTGAGGAGATGGCCATCGACGACATCCACGACCCAGCCGCCCCTTCATCAGCACGCCATGAGGACGGTGACAGCCCCATCATGGCGGCGTGTCGGCTCGATCGCATCGACGGGCAGCGGCCGACGCTCGCCGACCACGAGAAGAGCAGGCCTCTGAGGGACAGGGAGGCAAAAAGAGGGGGCGTGCATGGCGACGCTGCTGCTTTGCGGCAGTTGGCCATGGATTTGGACCTGGATGCCGAGGACGATCATGATACAAGGGCAGACGGCGAGCGGCGAGTTGGCACGGACGAGGGGGCAGCTCGTGACACCGACGATGGCGACAAGGACAGTGAGGAAGAACTGGTCATCATCGGTGGAGGGCCCCCACAAGCAGCAGCTGCAGCTGCAGCAGCAGCAGCAGCAGCTCCAACAGAAGACAAGAGGGGCGACAGACCAAGGGCGGCTGTACAGGACGGTGACCGTGAGAGAGAGAGGACGGCGTGGAAGCCTTCCGTCGGCCCCTCTGTGGCCAGCGCGATGCCGTCCACGGCCGACAAGAACTTCGAAATGACGACAGAAGATCTGCAGGGCTTCTCACTGCGGCGGGATGACGGGCGGGCGCTCGACGTGCCGACAGCAGAGAACCCACTGGAGAAGGAGCACCGGAGCAAAGTTGGCAAGTGGGGAGAGGACTTCGTGAACCAGTACCTCATGAGCAAGCACGCGGGCGCCGTGGCCAGGGGCGACCTGACGGTCCGCTGGATGAACTGCGACGAGGAGAGCGGGGAGTGTTACGACTTCGTCATTGAGGTGAGGCATCCAACAGGAGCCATGCACGAGCAGCAGCACACACCTTTGTGTCTGTGTGCGTATGTGTGTGTCAGCATGCCGCTGGTCGTGCTGATGGTCCGCTCGAGGACCGTGCTGGGTATGCCGAGTACATCGAGGTCAAGACCACCACGGACGAGGCCAAAGCCCTGTTCGAGGTGGGTGGGTGGGTGGGCAGACGAACCGAACCCCGCCTGCCCTGCACACCACACCGATGGCGTGTGTGTGTGTTGTGTTGTGTGGTGAAACGCAGATGTCCTATCGCGAGTGGCATTTCGCGCAGATGAAGGTATGAAGGTTGGTGGCGGATGCATTCATGGCCATGGAGCATGTGTGTATGCATGTCTTGTGATGTGTGCAGGGCGACCGCTTCTCCATCTATCGCATCTTCAACGCCGGCAGAGAGCAAGTCCGGCTGCTCAGGTACCTAGGTGTGCAGCTGTCACCAGACAACGGGCACATTCATCTTGTGCCGGTGTGTGTGTGTGTGTGTGTGCAGGATAGTCAATCCTTACCGCCAGTGGAAGGACAAGCGGATCGGCATCTGTCTGGCGCTGTGAACGTGTACGTCCATAACAGACAGGCGCCATAATTAATTACTTGCGTATGTAGTGGTCTCTCTCGATGTGTGAAGGTGTGCATTCACGCACTGCAGACAGAGAGATAGATACTCGGTCGGTCACTAGTCGGTCAAGCCAGCCAGCCCACCAGCCACGTTGTGCTCGCTCACCGTCATGTCATGTACAGCAGCTGTACGACTCGTGCCACGGTTTATACGTATCCGGTGATTCGGATCATGACCGACCGCTCCGCCATGGGGGCTGTTTTCGCCCCCACCCGATCGCCATCCCCTCCGTCCCAGATTGTCTCAGCCTCGTTGCTCTCTCTACCAACGAATTGCATCTCCCTGGGTTGGCAGCATAGCATCTATCGCACAGAGCCTCCCTCCCTGGTCGGCGGGCAACCGTCTTGAAGCTAGCTCTTGTTCTCGCCCGCACATCCAGCCCACGCATGCGTTCTTTTCTCTGTTCGCGTCACACCCGCTGGAGCCCTGATCTTTCCATCTAGGCGGACGGCTGCCAGCGAGTTCCATGGACGTCAGTAAGCAGCAAAAGAAGTCTGGCGATGGCCGAGGCGATGGCAAGGGCGGTGGCGAGCAGCAGATGCAGGAGGCCCATGCGACGCACCAGCCCGAGGGCTTCCGGATGGTGCAGAAGGAGACCATTTTGATGGACGATGAAGTGCCGGCGGACGGCCATGGGCAGGGGCAGGAGCTGAAGAGGGAAATTGAGCACCAGGAGCAGCAGCACCAGCAGCAGGACAATAGCAACTGCAGCGGCCCGGCCCGGCACTTCCTCCCTCCCCTCCCCCTCGTGCAGCAGCACCAGCACGGCACCGCCCCCCAAAGGGCCCAGCAGCCCGTGTGGCAGCCGCCGACCGTCACATGGCCCATCGCCCCTGGCACATCCGTCGGCGTACATCAGAGGGACACGCTCGGTGTGGTGCCCCCGCCATTCGCCCCGATGGACCCCTACTACGGATACCTCTCAGCCGCGGCCGCAGCGGCGGGGGGCCATCCGCCGCCATTCCCCTTCCCCATGTACTTTCCTAACATGCCGCCGCCACCGCCAAATGCCCCTCTGCTGGTCAAGGGCATGCCAGCGGTGCCAGCTGTGGTGATGGGGAGGGCAAAGAGCACTGAGCCGGCTGGGGAGAAGCGAGAGGGACTGGGGGCGGGGACGGGTGCAGGCGCGGGAGGGAGAGGGGGTGAGGAGAAAGACCTGAAGGACTTCGAGATGCCACAGGAAGGTGAGGGATGGGGGGAGGGAGGGAGGGCGGGCGGAAGCAGAGAGAGGCGTGTATATGGTCTGGTGTGGTGGATGTCTGCCTGCGTGTGGTGTGCAGATGAGCCGCTTGACGCCGCCCGGCTGACGCTGGCGGCCCGCAAGCTCCTGCAGCTCTCACGCAACAACCTACACCCAGAAATGTACACCGGTACGGAAAGACGTATGTATACCCAGGGACCCAGGCATACATACATGTTCTCACCATCAATCCATCCATCCATGTGTTCATCTGCTGACCAATCCATCAGGTGTGTCGTGGAGTGAGGACAAGACGGCCTACCTCCTGCGCACGACCAACCCCTCGGCACACAGCCCATTCTCTCTGCCCTTCTCCCTCTTCGGACCGCCCACATTCACACTCAAGGGCCTCAGGTGAACGAAGAAGCCAACACACAATATACATCAATGCCTGTGTGTGCCTTGTACCCATCACTCGTGCAGGCAAGCATTGGCGCAGGCCATCGACCGTCGCAACTCACAGACCATCGTCAAGACCGAGGAGGTAGCTCACCTGTTCTCATCTGTCCACCTTTGATAGCTACGGAAGGATTGATGTGTATACACCGACCGTCTTTGCTGTTCCCGTCTGTGCAGCTGGCCCTGCGGGAGACGCCCCTGCCCGACGTGTTGCTCACGGCCATGGCCCTGCAGATGATCGAAAACCACAGAGCCACAGTACCAACACCAGCACACCACCCCCTCCACCTACCCACCCAACACACATGTCTCTCTCTCTCTCTGTGTGTGTGTGTGTGCAGTCGTCGTCTCCCCTGACGATCAAGTGGCGTCAGGAGGGGAGCCGCCGGGCCTTCGCCATCAAAATGGCGGGCCGCGACATCGGACGGGTGGAGGTCAGCTGATCCCTCCACCTATATGGCCATGGCCATGTATGGCTGTGTGTATGACTGTTTGTGTGTCATCACATCAGTTGGCTGGTCGTAGCAAGGAGTGTTTGGAGAGTTCCTTCCTGTCGGCCCGACAGTGGGTCGACCAGATAGCCATGAATGGTATAAGATGAGGGTGAGGGGATACACAACACAACACATACACAGATGATGATGTCGTGTGGGGCGGGGTGCTCATCTTCTCTTCTTTTGTCAGATGTTGACGTGTCTGCTGAGTCCAACCAAGTGCCAGCACCAGGTAGGTAGGGTCATTCCACCACATTACACACACATGCCTATATCACCCGCCGGTGCCCTCCTGTAGATGAGCTGTTGAGCGCCTCCCGGATGGACAAGACGGCCGACGCCCTCATCGAGGCACTCCTACAATCCACATCGTCAGTACCCACAACGTCCTTTATGCCTACACAGACAGCCATATCTCCTCTGTGTGTGGTCAGGTATGCTGACCGGTGCCTGATGTATGATGGGCACTTTGTGTACGAGGGGCTCGGCGTCTGCTGGGTGAGTGGACTGGACTTGCCACACAATGAATGACAGAGAGAGAGAGAGACAGGTCGGTCAACCAACATGCTGTGTGCGTCGTGTGGGTGGATGGGTGCGGTGCAGGATCCCGGCCGGTCGTCCTTCACGGTGCTGGTGTCGTCCAAGCGGCCCCACACCACGTTCTCCATTAACGGCGGAAACCTTCCCGTCGACCCACCTACACGTAGCCCTCCCCTCCACTCCACCGCCACCCTATGCGGACGTGGTCTTCCTCCTGTGTGTGCAGTGAATGGCCTCAAGGCGGCGCTGCGCAGTGCCATGGAGCGGCGCAACGAGCTGACGACGGCAAAGGGCTTCTCGGGTAAAGAGACCTGGGGGTGGTGGTGTGTGTGGGGGCGGTGGTGTATGTGTCGTCACACAGGCTCGGTGCCGCTGCCCGACGAGCTGCCGTCTCCATCGCAGCTGTCGCCCTCTCTGGCGCCACATGAGATGGACGCCTTAGCCGAGTCGCTCTGCCTCAACACAAAGATAACGTCAGACGAAGGAACAAACAGACCAAATCGAGAGAGAGACGTCTGCCCACTTAGGTGTGTGTGTGTGATGTCAGTTGGCAGAAGTCTAGCCGATCGTTTGTCGTGACGGCGCCCATCATGCCAGGGGTACTCAGGCCCACGCGCAACCAAACCACCTCCAGCACACATCACATGTCTCTCTGTGTGTATGTGTGGGTTGGCCATTGCATCAGGTTCGGTCCAAGAAGAGGTCGCTGAAGCTGGTCCAAGTGGAGGGCAAGATGGAGAGGTAGGCAGACGGACAGACGTGGATGGGGCAGCACAGACACACACACCAACGTCATAAAATGACCTCTGTATGTGCGTGTGTGTGTGTGCAGTTCGGTGCACATGGCTTTTGAGAAGGCCGTCGAGCTTGACAACACATACGCAGAAGAGTACAAGAGACAAGAAGGTACACACACACACACGCATACACACACACAAAGACGCCATCCTTGTGTATGGGTTATGTCATCATCCTGTGGAGCAGCCAAGCACAAGTCGCATGTGCAGCAGCTGGACCAGCTCGCCGTCAAGCTGGTCGACACACTCAGGCAGAACACCAGCCCAGAAGAACGATCACTCTACTTGGTCAGTCAGTACCACACTCTCCCCCACAGCACACACACACACATCCATCCATCTGTGGCGCGCGCGTGCGTGTGTGTGTGTGTGTGTGTGTGGACATCAGGATGGTCAGCTGCTGAACAAGCGTTTCTCGTTGGGCATCCACTGGCTCAAGAAGCACCGCTGCTACGTGGTCAACCTGGACAAGGGCAACAGCAAGTGCCACGGCGGACAGATCTCGCCCACCTCACTGGACATCGAAGGACTCAAAGAGGCACTCAGGTGCTGACACATACACATACAGACACACACACGTGTGTGTGTGTGTGTGTTATCGTGTTATCGCGTGTCTGTGTGTGTCTGGGTGCTGCAGAAAGGCGGTTGAGCGTCGCAACGGCCTGGCGAAGGAGCTGGGCTATAAGGGACACATCGACCCTTCACGTACACACATATACACAGAGACGCATCAACTATGAATGCGTGTGTGTGTGTGTGAACAAAGGCGTGACTGACCCGGCTGAGTACGAGACGCTGAGCGCCTGGGAGTGCGACCGAATCGCTGAGGTACCCTTCCCCCCCCCCC